GTCCGTCCTTATTTAAATTTACGTTATAATAGTTTATAATAAAAGGTTTGTGAGTCAATTTTAATGCACGCTTTCGTGCTAAACATTAAAATGAAATAGAATAAATATAATACCTCGATTTCTTGTCCACGTTGACGTTTGTAAAAACGATCATCATCTGCTTGATAAGCAAGTATTCAATATACAATTCCTTATTCTCACAAGGTCGTTCAATAGTAATCCGATTACTCTCATAACCTTCTCTCGTACATAATTTTCCACCATATTTGAGTTTCACCTGTGATGAAGTCGTAATTGATTAACGAGTTTCCGATTCTCATGTTGATCCTAAAAATTGTTGAAAAGTCAGTTAATTGCGAAACATTTTTTTCTAAATTCTTAAACTTGACTTTAAAATTTTTATTTCCGTATTATATTCAAGATTATTAAAAAAATTGTCTCACTTCGGCAGTCGAGAATGATGCATCAAAATTTGATAAAAATTTCGCCACTTTTTTTTTGGCGTTGGCGTGAACATTGAAATCATCGACTGTATCCACGGACAATTTGAAATTGGATCGGGTAAATTTTAAAATTCCAGGATTGACAAATCTTTGCACAGTGTTTTTTCAAGATATTAATTGCTTTTCTATTCGAATGAAAGGAACATGATAACTTTCATAGTCAACTGTATACTGGAAAACAGCATTCTGGGGCTAAGGCCTTAAACACGTATGCCTAAGTAGATTGCTCTTTTTCACTTACAACCCTAGATGAAGATTTAAGTTTAGGACTTGTACAAAAAAAGATAACCGAATATTTACAAGTTCTCTTGCATCATTTCGATGAATCAGTCTGTTGTAATAATATTAATCAATACCTTGATGCACCATTATTAAAGAAATTGCCAGCCAACTACTTTTACTGTTGTAATTATCCTGAACTTCTTGATTACAGAGAGACCAGCCGTCTTCCTGATTTATGTAATGTTGTTGATAATGTTATGGATTCCTATGAGGAAAAGCCAAACCAGGAGACAGAAGCCAGTTAAATTGTCAACAGTCACATATAAATGATTGTAAAGCTCATAGATGGTAAATGGATATTAATTGATTTTGAGGAAGCTGCCAAAATTGGAGAAGAAAGGTATAGTAAGTAATTCCAATCGAACTGTTTAAGCACGCGGTTAAGTATATTAACTAATTTTTAATATTATTGTTATAAAGAATTATATTGAGAATTGCAGCATCGGGTGATATCTGGATGATCAGAATCTTATGGATGATTATAGAATTAAATTTACACTTTCTGAAAGGGCTCGAAATTTTCGTGATAGATAGGTCCAACTGCAATTGATGCTTTAGATGAAGAAACGGAATCAGATAATTTAATGGGATAGAGATAGATATTATTCCTTCCACTCTATTTCTGATTTTTAAATGCTTTATTGTTTTTTTATGTTAGATGTAAGATTTGTCTTTTTCGCAATAATACAACAAACAATTTATTAATTTTAATAAAATGGGGAAATATATGACCAAATTATTGTAGTGGACATTTAGAGGAGAGGAGGAATCACTCACTAATAAAAGCTACTCAATACTACCTAATGTTAATTAGATGTCAGCCTCACATTAAGAAAATAAAAACAAAGTTTTTCTACGATACTGCGCAAAACATCAGAATTAAA